CTATAAGAAGGAAAAGCAGGAGATTAAAATGAGTACAGACGAGTACGGACAGAAGTGGCAACAAATGAATTATTAAATCAAAATTGGGAAAGGGTATATATTGAAGAAAACATTGATAAAGCATATGATATATTCTTAGGGGTATTTAAATTGTTGTATGATAAAAACTGTCCATTTAAACGAATCAATAGACAACTTAAATAGGCTATTAAGATAGAGCATTAACAAAGGGATTACAAAATTGAATTGAATTGAAATCTTTATTTCGAACATGGAAGAGAAAGTATATAAAACAAATAACACAATGTTTAAAAACATAGGAGAAAAACAACAGATGAGCAGCAAACAAAGTACCCTTCTTTACTGTGTTAACATACTTCTATTATGTACGAAAAGTAGGAAGAAGTAAAACTTAAGTACTCCTACCCCTTTAATTATTACGTTCCTTCAATTAACAATTTTTATATTATTATTATTATTATTATGTTGTAATATACATACATATATACATACACACATAGACACATATACATACATATATACACACATACATACAGTATTTATATACATATACATACATACATACATATCAAAGTGACCACTGACAAGTATTTATTTATCTAACCTCGATTATGTACTTATTCAAGCAGCAGAAAATACAACCAAAAATAATAAAACAAAACAAACAATAAATAAAAATAAAACATAAACAAGGGAGCACTCCTACAGTGCTTCTTGATACCTCTTGAAAATAATTTCTTTGTACATTTTTTTTAAATAGGTATATGTTTGGGCATTGCTTTAGTTTCTCATTTAGTTTATTCCACAATTTAACTCCGCAAATTGATAAACGTAATCTTTTCCTTGTTGTTCTAAATCTATTAGTCTTAAAATTTCCCCTTCCCCTACCCTCCCTCCCTCTCAGAGAACATCTTTTGTATAATCCCAGGCAATAGGCTATTTCTTGCTTTGAACATGAATACTGCAATTTCATATTCGATTAAATCGTGATATTTTAGCAATTTAGACTGCAAAAATAATTAATTTGTGTGCTCCCGAAATCCAACGTTGTGAATGATTCTCATCGCTCTTTTTTGCATTATGACTGGCAGTAGTGAATGTAGATAAGTGCTTCCCCAAACCTCTTGTAATTCAAATAAGGTAACGATAGTGAACAGTACAGGATGAGAAGTGATTTAAGTTCCAGTGTGTGCTTAGCTCTTGCTAGGACTGCAATACTTCTGGACAATTTGGTTTTGATGTATTTTATGTGAGGCTTCCAGCAAATCTTTTCATCTATGATCACTCCAAGGAATTTATTTTCATGTACTCTTTCTATGTTAAAACCCTCTATCTGTATCTGTGCTTGATGATTTGACTTACAGTTTCCGAATACCATGAATGTATAGTTTTACTCAAATTTATTGATAACCTATTTATGTCCAACTATTGTTTTATTTTCTTGAATTCTGAGGTGATTAATTCCAAGATTTGCTGTATGCTGTCCCCTGAACCAAATATGTTTGTATCATCTGCAAATAATACAAAATTCAATACGTCAGATACTTTACAAATATCATTGATATATAATAAAAATAACTTTGGTCCCAACACTGACCCCTGGGGGACACCAGAAGGCATGCCCAGACATTCAGACGAATAATCTCCCATCTTCACAAATTGTTGTCTGTCTCTCAGATAACTACTTACCCAGTTTAGAACTAACCCCCTGATCACGATTCGTTTCAATTTACTAATTAATATTTCATGATTTATTGTGTGAAATGCTTTTTTTAGATCAATAAATACCCCAACTGTATATTTCTTTTTGTCTGTGGAGTTTGTGATTTCTTCAATGAGTTCTGTTAGTGCTAGTGATGTTGAACTATTTTTTCTAAATCCATATTGGCTGTCAGTGAGTAGTTTATTTTTATCGATGAATATCTCTAATCTGTTGTTAAATAGTTTTTCTACATTTTTTTGAAAATTGTGGCAGTAGAGTCAGGCCTGTAATTTGTGAAGTAGTGTTTATTTCCAGTTAGAGGAATGACTTTTGCTATTTTCATTTTTGTTTGAAATTGACCGGTTAGAAATGATAAATTGCAGATATTCGTTAGTGGTTTGGCGATCCCCTTTTAAAAATTACTTTTTGTATAATTTTTATATCTATTCCATCATGATCAGTGGATGGTTTGTTATGGCATCCTTTAAAGGGTAATGCAAAAAACAGGCAAAGGTCAAAACACAGGCAAACAGTCCAAACCATAACAGAGGTCAGGGCAGAGGCCTCAAAATCCATGAACATGAGAAACCAAAGAGAGAACACTCAGAAATGCAGTGCTGACACTTACAAGACTTCACAAAGAGTGACTGGGTATTCCGGATTTATATAGGCCCTGTCCCAAATGGCGCACTTCATGCGGACTTTCGGTCTCGTGGACGTAAATTGCGGGTGCTCGCCGAGTCTACGAGTCCGTAGGCCGTCCCATTTAGCATTTTAACGCTCTGAAGTGTGCTCAGCAGCGCCCCCTTTGTACCCTTGAAGCGGTCTTCCACGAAGCCCGCATAGATGCAGGCTCCACGCACTTTAACTACCCAGGAATCCTTGCGAAAGGCCAATCAGACAACGGATGGGAGGAGATTTCGCTCATGGACAATTGTTAACATGGCTGAGAAGAAAATATTTAAGTGTAATTATCATTACGGTTTTTATGACAAGTTTATACAAACATTATGATCATCGACCAGTGGTTGATGTCTCAAACATAGGCTAATAATAGCGAGCTGAATAATACGATCGCATTATGATTCATTAAATAAATAGAACAGAATGTCAGGGCTTTACTGAGTCATAACACACAACAACAATAGTGAGCATATTTCCCCGAGCCTGTAGCTCCTGTCCATAACAACAATCAGACCGTCTTCCTGTTTCCGGCGTGACGATCGAGTCTGTCCCAAAAATACCTCTCAATGCGCCCTCGCGGACTCGCGCTAAGGGCCCTATAGGTCTGCACTACATGACGTCACCGAAGTGTGGACTCTGAGGAACCCCACAAGTCCGGAGTGTGCCATTTGGGACAGGGCCATAGACAGAGTTAACAAGGGATGCTTCTCAATTCTTATTTGTGCATCCTCGTTTCCTTTCCTCGTTTCCTTTCCTCGCGTCTCAGCTCCACCCCCTGTAGGATGCGAGGGAAGGCTGGAAGGAAAGAAAATGAGGATGGAGGCATCGAATGAAAGCTTTTTTATACATTGGAATACTTGATCACTCGAGCGTCACTTCATAGCGTCATCAGCAGCGCTCAAAGGATCTGCCCTTATGTTCTAGAAGTTTGGTTATTTAAGAAATTAGTAATAAATAATAATAAAGCAAGATACCCTGTTGAAATATGTGTGATGTGTGGTTTATAAAAACTGCAAAGGTAAAGTATAAATTAAAATGATTGTGACCGATGTGAAGGGGGAGGAGAATTTATATGTGCGTCACGTTTAGTCAATAAAACACTTCCGCAAAGGATACATCCGTGTATCCTCACTCATAAATCCCCTGAAGCCTCCTCACTCCTCGATCCTCGCGGTGCAATTAGAGAATTGAGATGTCCTTCTCAAAGATGGCTGAGCTCGATCGGTTTCCGGGTCATAGGATGAAGGACGGAGGAGCGAGGAGACGAGGAGGGATATTGAGAAGCACCCAGTGTGTAATGAGATAATAAAACATGGCTGAATACAGTCAGGGATGATAAGACTGGGCAGTGAGTTCTGGGAAATGTAGTTTGTGAGGGAATGTCAATAATCTGGTGTGGAGTGCCCTCTGGTGGCTATCAAGGGCACTCCAGCTGGTGATCGTGATAGTAAACAACACAGTTTCTGGTACACCACATCCTTTTGACTTTATTCTTAAAAATTACAATTTTATTTTCATATTGTCATGCTATGAATTCATTATTGTAATTTCACATTTATTCTCATAATATTATGACTTTAATCCTGTATTGCTATTATCTTAGCCTTATATTATATTTGAAGTGGAAAACTTCATGCATGCAGTACTTATTTATATAAATTCAACAAATGCATTAAATTGTTTTAAACACACACATTGTTGAAGTGGTAAAAGTGGGAAAAAAAAACTCAACTAGTTAAAGTTTAACTCATTATATCTGCCTTTATAAATTCTTATCATTTGCATCATGAGGAAAAAAATATACAGTACTGTATGTGGCCTTATAAATATTCAAAAGAGCTGAAAACCATAACCAGAAGGTGGAATGAACAAGACAAACTCTTTATTTTGAGCAAAGATAATTAAAATAACAGGACAGTATTTATATTGCATTCTTTGAAAAAGATATTGAACAATACATTTCTTTAGCCAAACCCCTTATTTACGACCATGTCGCTTCCTCATTTCTTTCCCCTGTATGACTTTGTGCTCGGGTCTAAAGGTGAATACTCAACAATGAAGCCTCTGTTTTTAATACCCACTATCACAGTTCTGGTATTTTCCCAGTCCAAGAAAGAAAGAATGAGGATGTATCTGATGATTTCTGATAAACTGTTCAGTGAATGTGATCAGCCAGAGTAATTTATTAATTATAAATAAATATAATTTATATTTAAAATCTAGCCAAAATATTTAATAAATAAACAGACAAGATGGGAAACATGTCGGACTATGTAAAGGACAATTCTGTTAGCATAGATTTAATGTAGGCCCGCATTTTGAAAGAAAGAAAGAAAGAAAGAAAGAAAGAAAGAAAGAAAGAAAGAAAGAAAGAAAGAAAGAAAGAAAGAAAGAAAGAAAGAAAGAAAGAAAGAATAGATAGATGTTTCAGTCTTCATTTTGTCACCTGTGCACAGGAGGGTTTGATACCCGAATAGAGAGGTTACACAAGCATAAAATAATCCAACCAAATGATTTCCTTATTTTTACTGCAGGAAGACAGAAAAAATAGCACTTGTTTTATGATGCAGCCAAAGCACACATACAGTATAATGCTGCACAACAGGACATACTGGACTTAAATATTATTAACCTGCTCACCTGAAGTGAAGGAGCCCTTGGCCTGTTTGAAACTCAATGCTTTACATTTTCATACTCATTTTCTTCATAACTGAAATTCTCATATATAGTAGATTCACTCCTCCTCACAGGAACTGCTCCATCTCTTCTTGTCTTCTGGATATCAATGATTTCTTCATAGTTTGATTCCTACAAATAGTTATTTGTTTTTCTTAAATTGTAATCACAACATCAGACACAATGATGATGTCTCTTGAGGTAAAATTGTGGTAAAAAGTGAGTGTTGCTGACATTTAAATCATGAAACTGAAAGCCCACTATTAATCAGCGGTAATGCTTATCATGATTGAATTTTTGTTAATAACATCCATAGTTTAATTGCAATCCTCAGCATGTTTTTGTGCAGTAATATGTGAAAGATTAAAGTCCATTTGAGCTGACAGTAAAAATACAATACACACATCTTTCCTGCATGCGATAAAAGCCATAAACTCTTTAATTACCTCTGAGTTAAAAGATTTAAGAGACAGAAGAGGCAGAACAACTGAATATCAGTTACTAAAAACACCTTTCCTGTAAGTGTTTGTAATGTGTCATTTGACATCAGATTTACAGTTTTAAAATTGGGTCCTATAATGAAAAGTATGGCTGTGATGAGAAGAAAAAACTGAAAGTCACTCACAGGCTCTTGTCTGCTTTGTGCTGCTGCTGCTTAAAGAAAGATACATTCAATAAGTTTCATACTGAGAGAAATGTGTACTGAATCATCTGTAATATGAATAGATCATCTGAAATCTATTATGGGATGATCAGTATCAGTGTTGTTTCAATCAAACAATACTCATGTTGGTATTACGAAGAAACATACCTCCACTTGATTTTCCTTTTTGTTCTTTGTTTAAAATTGGGCTGTAGAGTTAAGACAAATAAATTCTTTAAAACCTTTACCACATTTATGTCACACAAAAATGCAGTATATAACAGTTTAATTTTATTATGTATAAAATACAGCAACAAAAAAAAGAATGTTAGGGAAATTTACTGTAATTGGATAATTCATACACTCTGAGTTTGATATTTCACGTGAACTATATTTTTTAATCATGGAGATCTTCAAAGGTTATATGTGGATCTAGACCTGTTGGAAGCTGATACAAGTTGTGATTTGTACACACATTATTAATGGTAGCAATGTATATAATATATGTCAAATTAAAGCTGTGATTACAAATTACTCCAGGATGTGCCAGATTACTCACATTTTCTTGTTTTTTATTAAATAGACAATAAGACCACAAATGCCTGAAACTGCCACTAAAACTCCAATGACAATCCCAACTATCGCTCCTGTTGTCAGTCCTCCTCCTCCTGCTCCACCGACTATAGAAAAGATACAATAAACAACAGCGAACCAAGGCCATATACTGCACACAATAATAATTGTAATACACTTTAAATACACAATATCAAACCTTAGTTAAAAAGGTAATTAAAAATTACAATTACGCACAATAGAGATTTACAAAACAGTAGGTATGACAACAGAAAGCTCCAATGAACAAATGTTAAATTAAGGTCAAAAGTTGAAAAAACATTTAGTGTTAGTTGTAACACTTACCTTTAACTAGTAAAGCATGTCTTTGTGAAGCACTTCTCTTTGTTACGTTATTCCAGGCAGTGCATTCGTAATCTCCACTGTGTGTGTGGTCAGTCTTCTCTATGGTGAAAGTGTCTGTGGTCACACTGGTGTCTGTTCCATTAAACCTCCAGCTGAAGGAGGCAGAAGGTACAGAATTTGCAGAGCAAGACAGAGACACACTGACCCCTAAATCCACCACATCCAGACCCTTAATAGAAACATCTTCTGTTCCATCTAGAACAAACACAAGAGACTCACTGTCAGAGGGACAAACTGAGCACTGAAGTATGTCTATATTTCATCAGGTTTGAGCTCAAATCATCTTGATGTTTAAATGTTTAACACTCACAGTTGATGATCAGGGGGAGTTTTGCCGTCCCAGAGCTGACAGGGTTTCTATAAGTACACTGATATTCCCCACTGTCTGATCTCTGCACTGGACTGATGGACACTGATCTGTTATCAGGTGAGAAGATGATGCGGTTGCTAGGATACAGAGGACTGTTATCTTTCATCCACTGCACAGAGGTGATGTTGCCAGTTCCCTCAGAGGTGATGTTAGCAGATGAGTTTCCCTCTATTAATAATTCTTCTGGACCAATAAGACTGACATTAGATATTTTTTCTGTGTAAACAAGAGAGAAAGAACAAATCCACACACTGGATCTAAAATTAGTCTTTCACATTTAGGACTGAAATCCTTTGTAATAACAGCAAAAACGCTTGTGCTTTTGCAGGCAGAAAGTTGCCAAATTAAGACTACAACAACCACAAAGATGTGAGTACAAGTCTGATGAATCTAACAACCATTATAGCCCTTATTTAACAACTGGCTAGCAAATTATTATTTATTTTTAAAACATGTTTCTCGGGTAAATATATTATGGACGAGGCCAATGGGGTCTCTGACTTTAGGGGCCAGGGAGGCCCTACATCTCAAATCTGCATGTCCAGGGCTGTACAGAAGTCATAGACATGTTTATTTATATATTTGAATAATTGCACCACATTGATAAACCCTTTTAATAGAGGTAAACCTGTTTGTTTTGACACCAACTGAATGAAAGCAGCAATTTGTGTAAAATGTATAAATCAATTCCCAATATCGAGATTGTCTATTTCAGTGTCTATTTATATCGCCGCAGTTTGTAATGTATACAATTTATGTTTAATGGATTTTCATAGAAAAGACTGAATGTCAGGGCCTGGGACAAGAGGAAAACAATAAAAATCCATAGCATAAAAGATTGTTGTAAAAGTTTATTATATTGGTAAAACTTTTCCAAGACAATTTGCAGTTTAGTACTAAAGGGCAGTGTTGGGTAAGTTACTCTAAAAAAGTAATTACTAGCAACTAATTACTAATTATCAGTGTAGTTAGTTTACTGTACTAATTACTCTCTCTAAAAAATATTGCATTACTTATTACTAATTACTTTCTAAATCCAATATCAAACTCGACCAGTTGAACAATAAGGACAGACATGACACTGCTCTTTTAATTCTTTAAAATTAAATAATATAAAATTGCAAAATTATTCTTGAACGTTGACCAAAGTATTTAAAGGGAGAATGTTACATTTAAAACATAAATTTTATCATTAGACGTTAAATTTTGATGTTAAATCCACTATTGTTTTACAGTCAAGTGAAAAAGAAAGGACACCCTTTTGAATTGTATTGTTGTACGTATCAGGACATATAATAAAAAAATCATCTGGTCCTTGGCAGGTCTTAAAATTATGTAAATACAACCTCAGAAGAACAACAACACATGACATATTACAATGTGTCATGGTATATTTAACAAAAACTAGACCAAAATGGAGAAGTCATGCAAGTGCACCCTCACTGCTTCCATAGGAATTAAGAGCCTATGTAGCAGTGCTAATCAAATGCCTTTAACTGATCATCAGCCATCATGACCAACTCTAAAAAAGCAGAAGTTTTGGCAGTTTGCTGATCTAGAGCATTCACGTGTGTGTGTGTGTTAACACAATACCAAGGAGGAAAGACATCAGCAATGATCTTAGAGAAGCAATTGTTGCTGTCCATCAATCAAGAAAGGATTACAAGGCCATTTCCAAAAAAATCTGAATTCCATCATTCTATAGTGTGGAAAATATTCAAGACAGTTGCCAATTTTCCCAGGAGTGGATGTCCCAGCAAATTCCCCCCAAAGTCAGACCGTGCACTGCTTCGAGAAACTCCAAAAAAAAAAAAAAAAAACTATCGACTGAAAGATTTTACTAAAATTGTTTTTGAATTAATAATATTTTCAGCTCAGAAGTAAATATGCATATAATGTAGTTATTTTAATACATTTAAAATTGTTATATTGAAAATAAATCAATAAATCTAATCAATTTATAATGCCTCCCCTAATCTCATTTGCATAAGAAGTTGTAACGTGACAAATCTGCATTTTGCCGGATAATAGCCTATGGTATATTCTGCTTGCCTGTAGTGTGGCGTAAAGAAATTAAATGTTTTTAGAAATGATTTAGAAATGTTTTTTAGTGGACTCAAATGAAATAATTTCACAGGACTAATACTGTATATTAGTTTTTAATTTTAAATAGTTCAAATCGGTTTCCTCAAATGAAATGTGTTTACTTTCATGGTATTATTCCAATACTAAGTGTATAGATTACAGACAGAGACCTGTAAATTAACAATAAAATATCTGACAGCAGGGGTTGACAGGTTTTCAGTAGTTTTCTGTTAATTTAATGTAAATGATTTACAGGATATTATTTTACAGTAAATACTGAACCAGGTTTTAGTAACACACTCACCGAACACTTGTAGTGAAGTTTCTCCTGTAAATGGAGGTCCAGCAGTAGGTGTTACAGTCAGTCTGTATATTCCAGAATCATCCAGTGTCAGATTCTGCAGCTCCAGAGCGAGAGTGTTGATGTCCACACGGGCTCTGCCTTCATATGCGGGGGTTACTGTAGTTACACCAGATACTACTGTAATTATAAGAGTTGAAGTAAAATACCATTGAGTTATAAGAATGGATGTGGAGGGGGGTGGGTTATCAGGGGCGAGCTTCACGCTTTCTCCCACTGCTCCATTAGCCGGACCAGGAAACTGCAGATCTTGACCGAAATATTGTCCTAAGAAAAAAAGAAAAATCATATTTTAAATGTTTTTTTTTTTACATTTTGCAATTAAATTACATAACTACTTTCACTAATCCAACTATTGTAGTTATTTTAGAACAGCTTCAGTAATTGGCAGACACAGATTTTCCTGAATTTAAATAAAATAGGACTAACTGGGTATTTTACACAGAAATTTAACACACATCATAATTTAATTTCTAAAAAAAAGTCTCACCAAAACCAGACAACATCCACAGCGTCCAGTATAAACGATAACAAACCATCATGATCGAGCTCTCATCCGTCAAGAGCAGCAGCTCAAATCATCTGAACTATTTACATTGGTTTTCAGTTAATGATAAACCACAGAATGTTTTTTTTCTCCACGAGTGTAAAAATGCAGCTACTAGGAAATATGCCTGTGCATAACATTTCTGCTTTTTTCTGCAGCTGTTTTAAAAGGTCTTTATCTACACATGGTCAGGGCAGTAGATCGCTGTTTTAACTTCCCTTTATGTCTTTGAACAGTTTGACAGTTTTTTTTAGATGGAGTGGTGTTAACATGAGGTGCCCATCCCTTTAGAAATAAAAGTTTATGATGGACTTACATAATGTATTTCTTCCTTTACTGCTGTCTTGTACCACTGTGTTTGGTAAGTCAATACTGTATTTACTGATTTGTTTTTTGTTTAGAATTTTATAGAAATAGAATTATGTGATATGCTGAAAATGTTTGTTGTTGTTTTTGTTCATTACATTTTGCTCTTAAACATGCAAGAGAGAAATGATGCAGTGTTTAATGCATCATTTTCTTTTTTCTCGGATACAAATGCAGTGTTAATAATAGTAACTTAAATTAATAACTATATGGAGAAAATCCTTTGTGGAATGATCTTTGTACTAAATCTTTTTCGCACTAACAGAGTTGTCATACAGAATTTATATAAACTAATATTTACAGATACTCTTTCCAATCAATAATCATTCTTTTTTTCTTTTTCCCTCTTTATTTACTCTGAATATCTCTCCTCCCATTGATATGAAACTCTTCATTTTAACTGAATTTGTAAAGATCTCTTAACATATTTATATAAGAATCAATAAACTTGGATGATTTGGGAAGTTTTATGACTTTTTTTTACATTTCACAATAACTCACTAAGAATGTTTGTTAAACACTTTTTTAGTTTTTTTGTTGTTGATGATAAAAGCATATTAGATATATGTACAGTAAATAAGGAAAACTGATGCTAAACTCTTCCTTGTGCCTTTTTTCTTTTTTGATAAGCACTCCCTGTCATGCTGTCTTTCCTGAGACAGACTAAGCGGATAAATCAATTGCTTAAAATGACCAAACATACATTATAATAAATAGATTCTTCAAAAATGTTACAATATTTCATAAAAAGCTTCTCTCTCTCTCTCTCTCTCTCTCTCTCTCTCTCTCTCTCTCTCTCTCTCTCTCTCTGTCTGTCTCTCTCTCTCTCTCTCTGCGCATGCGTGTGAGCGTCTGAGCGTTTGCCTGCGGGCTGAGTGAGTTCTATCTTTTCTTTTTTTCTTTGGGAAAGTTGTTGGTTTGTTTTGGGGGGTTTGCTTGAGTTAGGGAAAGTAAAGCGCTGTTCAGCGTGTGCTGTTTGAAATGGCAGCATCCGAAAACGTCGCCGCAGAACCAGGCCCGGTTCTAGAACCAAATAGTGAGGGTGCTCAAAATAGGGCCGAGCGATACCTATTGTCTACGACAATATTGTAATTGCTGTTATGTTAAAGGGATTGTTCACCCAAAAATGAAAATTCTGTCATAATTTACTCACCCTCAAGTTGTTTCAAACCTGTATGAATTTATTTTTTCTGTTAAACACAAAAGATTATATTTTGAAGAATGTCTGTAACCAAACAGTTGATGGGCCCCATTGATTTTTCCATAGTATTTTCTTTTTCCTACTATGGGAGTCAATGGGTGCTTGGGCCTGTCTGGTTACCCATATTCCTCAAAATATCTTCTTTTGTGTTCAGCAGAAGAAAGAAATTCATACAGGTTTGGAATAACATGAGAGTGAGTAATTTATGACAGAAGTTTCATTTTTGGGTGAACTATCCCTTTAAACGATATGCGATCTACATGATCGAGTAGCCTATGTTCCTGTACGAGTTTTTGTGCTTTACATTTATATCATATGATATAGTTAAGAAATGTTACACACAGAGTGCTTTTCCCCAAATATCAGCAGTAGCCTATTGCAAATGTGTGAAGTATTGAAACTGATTTTATTCTGCAGTTGAAAAGAAGTTAATATAAGTAACTTACATAATTGACATTTAGTTTCTGACGACAACGAATCAGTCCTTTTAAACGAAACAGCTGATTTAAAGATTAAATTACTCACTCGTTAAGACAGTCAAATGCTAGGTCACTCGGCGGCGTCGGCGCCATCGGCCGCGGCACTTGCTAGGATTTATCGCCGTGTTTGAATGGGTGTCATGCGGTGAGAGTGAGGTTGTAGGGCGGGGTTCGCTGCTGTCATCGGCAGGCGGTGTCATTTCGTCTTGTTGTGATGTAGAGGTTTGAGCTTTCTTGAGCCAATTTCATATGTCCATGATTAAAAATGGACGATTAATATTTTTAGGCTACCTAAAGGCAGCCCCGTCTCAGAAAGTCAGCTAACGAATTTCCTGAGACGCACACACGCAAGCAAAGTGGGCAATTAAAGAGATATGCGAATCACGATCGCGAAAGGACACAACCAATCCAATGCATTAAACATGAAAGCATAATGAAATAATTTCTGATTTGAAAATTTATCAAATTTATCTTATTGAAATTTATTTTGTGTATTACATGTATGAGTGTGAAATCCTGTGTTTCTTTTGTCGGTAAAATCTCGTTTACATGTGTGCTAATAAAAATTTAATCTGAGGGTGCTTTCACCTTTGTTTGAGGGTGCTTTGCACAGACATTTTGAAAGGCAGTGGCTTAAACCAAAAAAGGGGGCACTATAAGGAGTTTGACTGACAACATGCAAGATGGTGACCCAACCCCCCTCCCCTCCCCCAATTTGAGTTTGACCTATAAACTATCAATTTAGGGATTATTAAAAGTATATTAATTTAGCTAAAGTATTTGTATCAATACTATGTGTCTTTTGTGCTGGTTTTACCCCGTGTGTAGGCTACCTCCTTGCCACCTCATACATTAATACGATTTTTAAACTAACAAACCACCTTCATGATTTATTTTCACACAAAATCTGTTGCTCCATCAATTTTCAAACATATATTTTTCTGCAATCATATGTGAAAAGCAAATGTTAGGGTGTTCCTTTAGCCCCATTGTAACCTTGCTAATATACTAAGGTACTATTCATTTAGATCAGTGTTAATTTTGACAACAAATTTTGATTTAGTCTTAGTCTTTTGACTAAAATGACCATTTAGTTTTAGTCATATTTTAGTCATCTGAATTGTTTTAGTTTTAGTCAACGAAATACAATAAGGTTTTAGTCGACTAAATCTACAGTAGATTTAGTCGACTAAAATTTAATGGGTTCAGTGTTAAATTGTAATGCATTAATTTAGAATTTCTCTAAAATGTCCAAACCCATTATATATTCCAGTAGAAAACATCTATTAACCTGATAATATTAATAATTTTTAAAGTTTGAACATGCAATACAGACACATATTTAGCACTGTGACATAAAATAATATCTTAAAATTAAAGTCTTACATACATCATTCTTTATTCTTTCAAGCAGAGATATTTATTTGTCTGAATTAAATCTAATTAATCGTTATTAAAGCTATTAAAGAGCAGTGAATGCTTTTCTCTTTTTATTTTGTTGTTTGATTAATATTAAGTGCACAGACGGCATTAGGTTTATTACGCACTGTCACTTTAAGACCGAGTGTGCAGATCCAATTGCACTGATGCACATCCGATGTTCTCACAACTGTACGTTCTGTAAAGACATAACTGACTGCGTTTAAGTGAATAATCTCCAAAACGGACATTTAGACATAATGATGTGTGTATTTGTCCATTCAGACGCGAAAGAGAGCTCAGTTCAGTCCTTGCGCGCTGCTCATGTGCAGGGCTGCACGCGTCGGGTTGTGTGTGTGTGTGTGTGTGCACGCACAGAAAAAAAAAAAACAGAATAAGGGCCATTGCACACTGCGTTTTTTCGTATTCGTGATTCGTTGGCTCTGAATTGTCAAAACACCATTCAAACTGCTGGCTACGGTTCGATTAGATTTTTACCCGATTAGATTTTTTTATGACGGACGAAAGTTTCGGAGGCAGTGTGCAAGTGTGATTGACATAAGGTGAGGTCGTATTTATTTTTTTAACGTGCGAAAATTCTGGAGCGATAACATAACGTTTTTATGGAAATCCTCTGGAGGGTTAGGGAGGGGCGAGAGGGGCACCTCAGCTGATGAGGGCAGAAGGGCAGTGGCTCTAGCCACCGGGCCACCCCCCTGTGCACGGCCCTGCCCTCAAGCACCACCGTAGAACCGGGCCTGCGCAGAACGCTGATCAGAGGAATGCAGGCAGCATAGCAGTCGCGCAATTTGTGGATTACAAAAGTATTTTGTCAGCATCAAGGATGAACAGTGCAGTTGTTTTGTTCTTAGATGATGTGAATGAATGAGAAAGTAAATGAGATAGTCGCGAATGGAATCGTGATAAATGATTCTTACACACCGGTAGCCTAATGCCTTTGATGCAACCGGCGAAAAGGATCTTGTTGCCAAATGTTCCACCTTTTATAATAGATGAAGTGATTCAGAGATGGTCAGACATGGAAAAGTTGTTTCACAGTTTAAAAAGATTGCCTTAAACTGTAAATCGGCAGATTCGGCGCAGGATGTTGCTTCTTTCCGAAGACAAGTAGCCTACATGATTTTAAAGGAGCTGTATGTAAGATTGTGGCCAAAACTGGTACTGCAATCACTTTCAAATTACTGTAGAGCTGTGTATCCCCTCCCCCTCCCCCCTGACTCGAGGTTGCCAGATAGGCTGCAGGATCCAGCAGGAACATAGGCTGCTACAAGGAGCTTTCAACTAGAGCAGAGCTGGCAACCCGGAAGCCGAAACACTACTGACTTCGTGATTGGTAGATAGGTGGAGGGTGGGGCTTCAGGTCAAAACACAAGATGACAACATCAACATCAGTTGAGGGCTGCAACTTCACTTTTTAAATGACAATATCGTGGCCGTACTACTGTTGTCAGTGATATAAGTATTTGAAATGAACATGATTTCTTAATGTCTAGAGACACACCAGGGCCATTTTATGATTAATTGAAATAAATTTCTTACATACAGCTCCTTTAAACAATGAGAGAGCGGAGTTAAATATTAG